GACTCATTGTTCCTAGCAGCAGCAGCAGCAGCAGAGACATGGTGGGTGATGAAAACACCATGGAGCACTTCATCTCCTACGCCCTCTCTTGCTAATGAATTTATTGCGTGGTTTCTATAGCCATTAATTAAAGGAAAAAAATGTGTATCAGATGTTAGTTTTATTAGCCTAGACTCCTTAGAAGGAGTCAAAATGAAAGGAACATACAGTATGTCATGCATTTGATGTTGGCGCCATCCCCCTCTCAGTTCTTTGCTCTACAAATGCGCACCTCACTCAGCCGCAAACTGTACAGTCAGCAGCTGTCTGCAGACACAACAGCATTTGATTGATCCTGAGGAAACAGTTAAGATGTGGTCCGGCTTTATTGTTGGCTGACTCACATTTTGCACAACTGTAAATTTATTGCTGAATGATTTGGGATAATTGGAGGTTAGGATGATGAGTGGAGATCTGATCTGTTCAGGCTCTAATGTAGACAGCCCTGAGAGGAAGACCCTTGGAGTCTTGGGCGGCGCATGGTGAGATCCAAAGCTCGACAGTTCACAGGTTGGGCCTTGTTCTGAATGGTTCCCTATTGCACTGCCCTCTGCATGACATTACTAATATCTTGCACAACACAGCAGAAAGATAAGCATGTAAATAAATGCTCTCTGTTTTTGTCATTATACAACAGCTTGACATACAAAGACTGATGTGCTCAGTCACTCATTTCTTACACAGCAGTGTTAGATACAAAATGTACATGGATAATAAGCTTATTTCTTTCTTCTCTCTTTGGGGCGTGATTGCATGACTTACCTTCAGGGGCAGGCTGATTGATGGGACCCATGCCTGTTTTTCCTGACTCATTTGATTGCATTCTCAGCTATTGGACACTCAGGTTGCCAAAACCATAAACATTCCCACCTGCACAGGATTGCTACTATGGTAAACGTACAGTAGGTAGAGCATGAGGAAACGTGATCTGAGGTATTTTGCTCCCCTTGATGAACACAGGATATAACTCATCTCAGAACTGACATGGAGGTTTGATTGATGTTCATGGCACTTTTATACAGGATTTATTTTTTGTTCTGGTTTAGCTAATGCAGAGGGCATGGCACATACTTTGACAGCAATTCTCAAGGCACTGCCCATGTTTAGGTTGTAAACAAGACCTGTTTCTAATGACCCATTAATCAAAATTATTATCTCTCTTTTCTTATTAGCAAAGAAAAGTATGCAACTCATTTCAGTAATTATAGCCACAATCTATTCATGGAAATGTTTCAGTCTTTGGGTTTTACTGTAATTCGTAAATATTATGTGTTAATATGTTTTATATTTTAAAGCCAGTTAAATATAAAAAAGATTTTAAAAGGTAAATTTGTAATGTGGATCAAATGGATTTTTTTTTTTACTAGTCTAGATTTGATAAAATACTGTTCATACTCATTCATATTCATTTCAGGCACAGGGTGTTCCCACTGATGAAGCAGCAGAAGGGTAATATGCATATTAAACCACATCAAGAACAAATGCGAATCCCTTCCAAACTACTTTCCATCCAGCATGATACCATCCTTATACTCACACCATGTCAAACCAGACTCAAGCAGTTCAAGATATCCAGTCCCATGTGGTTACAAATGACTTTCTGTAGCAATAATGTAGTAAGTGATGTCTCAAATCTATATTCTCTGGGTTCTTTTTCACTTGGCCTAACACAATTGTGCATTTATCAGTGTAACTGCATGAGTTGGAAGCAGTGATGTTGTTTATTAGGTGGATTTCCATCCTGTTAAGAGCAGAGGGTCTTTTAATGTATGGCCTTACTTGAGTGTACTGCTACAGTACACAGTTGCACACCAGTCGCACATTGAGTGGGCTGATGATGCTGATGATTGTGATGGTTGAGATGGTTGAGATGGCGCTGATGGCAGCGATGATACTGGACCACCCTGCACTCTTCAAACAAGCCTTTCAAAGAGAGATGGCGAGTGAAACAACAAAGTGAAACCAATGTTAATAATTTTATTTACTCGTTTCTCTACTTCTCCCTTAACCAAGTGATGGAGGCCAGACCCATGGTGGGGGGGGAGGAAATCGATGAGGAGCGCATTACAGTAAAACGTATTGATTAGGAGACCTGCAAGCAGCGTGGTGGTCTTGAAGAAGGTGGAATGATGCAATGCTTAAAGGAATTTATCCTTTGACTTTTACATTAACCTTTTATTGACTGCTTTGCCTGTCTATAATTAACACTCACTTTAGCTAAAGTGGTTAGTTTGAGCGCAAAGGGGCCTCCATCCCTTATTGCAGCAAAAGCTGCCGACCAGCCGCAGTTTGAGTGCACTGTGCTACATGGAGGGAAAGGCCTTTGTGGAATAGAGGCAATAGAATCCTAGATACATTTCACATTAGCATACCATTTGAGTGGGGGCCTGCCAGGCTATAGGGTTTCAAGACAAATTGAAATGAGTGATTGTGTTGCCAATCTCTCTTGACCAAGTGCCAGATGGGATAGTTAAGCCAATATGTGTCTGTGGTTAATCCTTTGGAACAGCCAGGACTCACAAACACATTCTCTCCCTCCTCAGCCCCTCATACACACCTCTTTGTCTTTGACCTTAACTTTAAGGTGGGCTGTTCTGCCATGGGAAAGTACTTTGGTGAGCCTTGTTTGTACACCACTGTGGCTTACACTGAATTTCTAGTGAAAGCCCTGGAGAGCTTAAGGCACCTCGCTTGATATTGACTTTTTGTTTGGTTCTATTTTAGCAGTCACTCTGTGAACAGTGGTAGACTGTGTAAAAGTGTGTGCTGAATTACCTACACTATATTATCTTTGATAGTCTTCCAGTCTTGGTATCTTTTATATCTCTAGTAAACCAGGAGCCTTCTGTTTGCAAGCTAATGTTGCAAGATCCCTTGTCAGATAAATGCAGCAGCTCTGTTGAAGGCGGCTGGTCAGGTTTATATGGAATGTAGCCTTTCATTATGAAGCAGGGCAGCAGAAAAGAGGAGAGCGTTTTTTTTTTTCTCATAGCTTTACTGCATTAATACTTAATCAGGCCAAATCAAAGGTCTGTGTTCTCTTGGCCTATGGTGTCCTCAAGCTGATGTCAGCAGAACCACACAGTGTGTGGGAGTGTGTACTGTGTACTGTGTACTGTTTGGGCCAGTTTGCTCTCTCTTTCTCTCTCTCTCTTGCACACTCTGTATGCCAGCCATGTCCTCCTCCTCCCCCTCCTCCTCCTCCTTCTCTGAAGTGGCGCTTCCTTTAATTCACACCCTAAATAAATGATGAGAACATTTAAACACACGGCTCGTCACAAAGCCCCAAGGTCGCCTAATCGTATTATTTATGAAGTGATGTGCTACATAATGGTACTTAGTGCATGTTAACAGATGCTATTATCAGGCCCTGATCCAGAGCACAGAAGATATATTGGAACTGTGGATGTTAATGCTACTCACCACCATAATGCAGCAGCTCTTTAAAGGGGTAACCGCACCAAAATGTTGCACTTAGGCTGAGAGCCAGCAGTCAAACATTAAGAGGCTCCAGCGAAGATATATAACCACAAATTGCGGCAGCCCCCACGGCTGTCCCCTGACAACGTTAGCATCCCCTCACCCAGAGCTGACCCCCATTTCCTTCTCTTTGGCCCTCTCTATCCTCTCCATTCCCTCCTTTAGCCATTGGCCACAAGGTGGTGGTGGTCATGTGTCTGTGTGTGAGGGGGGCTATTTGAGGTTTTTTAGGCTGTGGATAGGGTAAAGAGATATGACATGACAGACCCTGGCATAATGACTGAGTGGGGAGTATACTGTAACTAGCCTTGTGGTGCACTAGAAGGAAATTCTTGGGCCACCACTCACAAGCACACACTACACACACGACATACAAATGCCATCCTCCACCTCTCCCTCTTGCACCTCCAGGTCAAGGGTTACTCTCGTCTGTCAAGAGGCAGAGAAAGGGCAGATTTACAGTGACAGCAGAGAGCAACACCAATTCAGTGCAGTAAATATTTACAATGGTCTGACAAAAGATGTGTCTAAGGTCTGTGGGGGTTCCAAACACTGTAGGAATTGCAACCAACCCCAGATTATTAATCATATAGAAATGACTCAGTGAGATGAAAATGTGAATTTCCAGCTGCCTGTCCTGGTTCAACAACAGAGAGTGATGTTCTTGTGAAAGCATCCTACTGTGTGTGCCTGTATGTGTGTAATGGATGGGACATTAAGCATGATACATGATATGGTGTCAGCTTCACACTGTGATGGCCATTTATGGCTTTAGACATACAGTACATACTTTTCTAGCACATCATTTTGTGCCACTATCTCAGCTCAGTCAGCTGTGCTGGCTTGAATGTTTTAAAGCATTGTTGTCAGAGCCAGGAAGTACAAGTTGCATTAAGATCAATTATTCAAATATCCTTAAAATATCTTCAGGAGAAAACAAATCTGAAGCATCTGTAACAAGAAATTAAAAGTCCTTTCAGTGTCCTTTGCACAGAGGGACAATGCACTCATATTTTTGACGGTCTAATCGGGCCCGGTGTTATTAGGAGTCATAAAAAAGAAGAGGAAGCACACAAGCCAACTGTTTCCTGTTCAAATACATAATACCCATTGTATATTTATGGACAGGTTAACACACAACGGTCACTATAGAAAGATAAAGTATGTGTTTATCCCTCCCCTATTACAATCCCTCAGCCAGCACTAGTAACTGTGTGTGGGTATCAAAAGGAACATTCTGGGTTCACAGTGTCATTTTAAGTATAGCAGGATAATGAAACAAGGCTTTGAAATCATTTACATGACATAGCAAATGTTACCAGAAAAGTCGTGTCATGATCTCCAAAATAAAAAATGCTTGGGGGTAAAATTTTTGGAGTGGCCTGAGTTGCATGTCCTAATGCCAGTTCATGCCTACCAGTTGGTTTTGATGAGAGGAAGGAGTTAATGGGTGTGTCTGTTCCTGTGTCCTGTCACCTCAGGTGCCACTCGACTCTGGCCCAGTCATTACCCCCTGAGCAGGCTCCAGTGGACCGACCCTTCTGGGGTGTGGATGATCCCAACATGCCGCTGCCCTTTGACCTGGCTGACATCATCAACCGAGTGGAATCGCTGCTCTGGAGGTGAAGTGTTGAAATTTGTCCTTGTACATGTTGGATGTATGAATAGCCCAAGCATCCTGCATTAATTCACAGGTGGTTAACTTGTTAATTCATTATTTACCCATGTTTTAATGCGTATTATTATTATTCCATTTTATTATAACTGAGTAATGCATTTATTCTCATATAAACTCACACAAACACAGGAATACTAATGTAATTATTTACACACCAATGTGTGAAGGGTCGAATAAGAAATGTAGACATTACTTTGCATGTTGTGCATACCAAGTGATATTTGCCACGAAGCTGGCCCAAGGCATAAGCAACCCAAAGGGCCTCTTATTGTCAGACCACTGTGGGGCCACAAAAGGAGTATGAAAAATAAACAACTAAATAAATAATGGTGAATGACCACAACCATTTTACCTTCTTCTCCAAAATCAGTATACATTTTTCAGCTTTGCGAGATGCTCAGTCTGCTCAAGTCTCCAAAACTGCTTGTACTAACTTTGACTTTTAATGTACAGAGACAAAACACCTGCTGTCATACTTACTTTACATATACACTGACCAAACCCTGCGTGTCCTGTCACAAACTTTAAAAGTAAATCTAGTGAACCTCAGTAGAGTTGGCATTTAGAGTGATCAGTATATTAGCCTTCATGAAGTTAATTAGTGTGTATATCCTGGGCCCTCTAGGTCAACAGGTATTTTGATGACTTGGTAAGCTTGCAGTTACACACAGGAGACCTCATGTCCAAGTCTCACATTTGATAAAAATGGAGAAAAAAGCATATGTTTTGACCATTGCCTATTTCTTTTTTCCTCTCCAACAGGATGTAGAGTATGGATAGATGAAATGAGGAAGAAGGTCAAGAAAGAAAGACCCACCAGCTTTTCTGAATGGTCCCCACATTGGCTGTGGGGACAAACCACTGAAGACATCTCTGTTGTAATTGCACCAAGATTGATTTCCTTTTCAGTGGGGCATCTACACCCCCACCCCTCCCACTCCACCCTCCTCTGCCCCATCTGACCCCAGCATCTCAGCCACCTTAGCTCGGATTTGGCTGGAAGGAAACCAGATTACACTAGAACCAGAAGAGTACTTTGGTAACATGCTAACAACACCGGCTTAGCAACAAGCTAGTAGTGTTACAACGGTCTAACAAAACATATGTGGAACCTGCAGTTCAGTGTTAGCATTCATTGTGTAACTATTTATTATTTCAGTGTACTCTGTTACTTAATCTCACGTAACCCAGTCATGCTTTCATCAATGGATTGACACATTCTCAGTAGTCACCATACAGTACTTACATATATGCTTTCTATTTATCACACAGTGTTATAATACAGTATAGAATGGTAAAAAAAAAGAAAGAAAAACCCATACTTTGCTGACATGGTATTGCATTCTTCACTTGTGTATAGTGTAATCCCTTTTCTTTTGTTCAGAAGTGGACTAAGCTTGGAGAGACCAAAGAAAGATTATGATAAGAAAGTTATGAATGCCACCTAGTAAAGAATATGAAGAACGCACTGTTTCGTGTTCATGGTGTGATGGTGTGCTCATGCCATATTGATGTGTGACAGTGTGTATGTGTATGTTTGTGTGTGTGCATTTAGCCATGTGAATATACATATTATCAGTCGTTGGCCTGTGTGTTTGTGCATGTACACGTTCACTCTCCCACATGTCTACATTAAGCTGTGCGTGTATGAATGTGATAGTGTGTGTGAGCCCGTAGGCAGCCTGTCAGTTGTTTGTTCTTGAAGATGTGCATATGGAGAAACAGAGACTAGCAGCAGGGCCCCTCTGTCTCTGCTCTGATGAAAGGCAGCACTGATAGAATGACCTGGAACACAACCGCAGTTTCTCATAATTACAGCTGCTCAATCGCTTTTAATTACTCTTTAAGTGTGCAGAGCACCACATTCCCCTGTAATGCTGCAGGCCATCTGAGGGAGTGAGAGAAGGATCCGGCGCGTCTGACAAAATCCACAAACAACAAAAAAAAAATCTAAAAAGGGTGGAAAAGGGGGCCGGCGTCAAAGCAGCGTATCAGCCCTCCCCTTTTGATTTCTCTCTCTATCTAGTTCATGATGAAATAGAGATGCTGTTTACTATTAAAAATGCAGAATGCACTCCTTTTTTTTTTTTTTTTTTACTTCTGAAGTTTTTTCCAAGATGTTAATGGTTGCCAAACGCTGTTTTTCTTGCTTCTTCTTTTGCTGCGCCTCTGTTTGTTGTTGTCAGAGAGATTTGTTTGTAGATTGGCAGTAGTGTTGACTTGTTTGAATCACTCTGTGCTCCCTGCGCCACAGCTTGTCTGTCTGAAGCAATAGGAATGGCAGTAAATAAAAAACAGTGTTTTATTCAATGACCTGCGTTCCTCTGTTTTTTGCGTGCGTTTGTCCTTTTTTTTAAAAATTCCTGGTCAATAACACACATATGACAGGTACAACAGTCTCTTTATACATTTATGTGTCAGTATTTCTATGCTGATTGTATTTCTTGTAATGCTCTTGACCTGACCGCAGACCTAGCAAACCCACGCAAGCCTGTCCTCTTTACTCACCCACTGTGGTGGAGGTGAGTTATTGTGCTTTGAAGTAGCCTCTCCCCAGAACTTCTGTCTTCCTCAAGATAAATAGGACAGAAGCAGACAAAGATCCTTTATTTAGAAGTGTAGCTCACTGGCAGGAAAATTAGCAGCCACGCCAGCTCAAGGTCAGATAGTGGTTACATCCACAGCAGGCCTACAAATAACACCTGATATTTGAATGAATTTGCAGAGTGCCAGAAGGGTTAGGTTTACTGTATGAGGACAGTTTATGTGCCAGTCAGTCACAGAAACGCATCCAGAACATTTAAATATAAATACAATCTTGGGAATTTCCCATGGGGCAAACATGGGAACATTTCCATGAATGTTAAAACAACAGCAAATAAATGTTGAAAATACTAATGGATTAGTATTTTTAGACTTGCAGCAGCATGGAACAGCAAAGTCGGTAGTTCGGTCCAACTATGACATGGGTTACTATGAACTTTTTAACATACATTCATGGTTCCCAGAAAATGGATCCAAATCATTTTTGTATCCCCTTTTCCCCTCATGCCACCGTGAGATACACATTTGTGGTTTTAAGTGAAGTGTCTCAGTAACTATGGGATGGATTGTCATGACACGATACCCACATTCATGTTGTCCACAAGATGAACTGTAATAACTTGGAGATCCCTTAATGTTTCATTTAGCACTGTCATCAGGTCCAAAATGTAAATAGCCCACTACTTTGGTTTATGACTAAATACTTATACTAATGGTACTGACATGAGCCTCAACTGTACTTATTATTGAGTGCTACAGGCTAAACTAAACGTGGTAAATATTATACATGCTTTGAATTAGCATGTGATTGTGTTATGTTAGTATGATGATTTACCATTTAGCTCTCAGCAGTGCAGCACATAGGCTCACTAAGCTACTTGCATTGAATGAATTGTTGACCTGCACATGACAAACTTTTAAGTGTTGCTTTAATACATATAAAAATCTACTCTGTGCTCAACAAGGAAGCCTTTGTACCAGGTCTCTCTTTCTTTCCTTTCTTGCCATTAGCTTCTTGCTCTCCCTTTTCTCTAAACTTCAAAGGAACTGGCTGGATTAGCAGAGCAAACACCTTTTACGACAGATTGATGGATTGACTGATTGACTGGCTGATGTCACTCCCAGTGATGAAGTGATGGCTAATGTTCTGTATGTCTCACCAAAAAATCCACACCCCCTACCAACAGAGGGCCGCCATCCCCGAGGTTGCCCGTGTTAACTACTTCCTGTAGTGGCTAAGTGACTGAGTGATGGATGAGTGTGGAGCGGTCTCCCCTCAGGGGCAGAGACTGGAAAAGGGCCCCACTTGAGGAGACAATTACACAGCACCGGTGAGAGCGACAGGTATGCATTGTTCTGACTGGGGTCAGCCACTAGCCTGCCAGCCAAGCCACCCTCAATTAGGCCAACAATAGGTGCATGGTGAGATAAAATAACCAGGTGTGTTGTGAGGAAAGGTATCAGTTTGGGGTCATGTCCCAGTCAAATGTTGCACTGTGTGACTATTAGGATGGGCTTTAGTGCTGTGCACTTTAAAGAAGGGACTAGGTTTGAATTCAAATGTAAAGGTTTTTTTAGAGATTATTAAGAATTATTATTTATTATATTGTTTTGGTGAATAATGATTCTATTCATGCACAGTAAGTCAAGGACCATTTCATTTTATATTTAGAACTGTGGAAGTCTGACCTCAACACTGATGCATTTAAGTAATGTAACTATTATATAATAAAGACAGTATAAACTGTTGGATACTTATTTTCTGGATCAAGCTTGGAGCATTATTCGGTATATGTATAATACATGTTACTTTGTGTTTTGTGTCTCAAAGAATAAATATGGAAAATCTGCCTGTGAGTCTGTTTGCAGAAATGACTGAAGGTGCATAATGTATTTGTGTGAGAGAGTGTGTCCCCCAGGTTCCTGTGGGCAGGCTGGTGTTGGAGGCCCCAAGGCTTGAGAGGCAGTAGTAATTGTAGAAGCAGACTGAAAAGCTGAAGATAGCATCGCAGCTCAGGGCAGCTGTCAGCAGGGGGACAGCCCACACTCATTTGTCACCAACACAGACAAACACCACTCAACACTGACAAAACACTGTGCTGACTAACTAGATGTGAAGCAACACCAATCCTAATGTTGTCAAGGGACCGGCTGAGCTGCTGTAAAGGCCAAAGATTCACCACACCATAAACACAAAGCAGCAAAAACTGCAGCTGCTCTGTCACCACAAATTACCCTAAAGCTCACAAAGAAAATAATGTCACATAAAATTAACAATTTTATCTGATGTGTAAACATTTTCCTCGTTTATCTTACAAATAAAAGATGAAACATAATATTTTAATAGTGTTCACTGAATAGTAACTTGATTTGCCTTGTAAGTAATGTCTGGTTATTGACAAAGGCAATTTACCAACAAATTTGATTTTTAAATAAAGAATCTAAAGTATCTTTGTAAACTCAAGTGTGCAGTCAAATCCTAATATGGATGGACAGGTCTCAGAGATAACTGATCATGATCACTGCAAACACACATTTTTAATTGTTGAAAATCAGCATTTGCATTTCTCTTTCTGTGTATTACTGTTACAAGATTAATCATTGCCATAATGATTCTTGTGGTTTTGTTGTTACTTTTTATTTAGACAGATTTGTGGATCTGATAACAAATATTTAAATCCAAAATGCAAATATATATAAAACACTCTCTTATTCTTTCTCTCATTTTTCCTCTGACCAAAGCTCACCTCCTCAGGCCAAACCAAAGCAAACCAGACTCTGTGGAGCTGCTGACGTTTATTGCTGATTTCTAAAATCTAAAGCATCTCCTCCTGCAAACCAACTGTCTTGTCTGTTAGTAGGCTGATCATGACTGACAAGCTCACTGCCTCCTAGTTCACTTAGTACTAGACTTGGGAGAATGAAAGTGAAGTGATGGTGATGTTGATGCTGTCAGAATCCTGGCAGCTGTGCAGCTCTGACGAGTGGACGGAATGACATGGTGTGTGTGTCTGTGTGTGATAGAAGAGACTATAGTGGGTCTTGAGGGAGAGAGCCCTTGCAGATCAAACAGCGATCTGATCAAATGTAGAGCGTGTTTGTGGGTCGCTGATGTGTGGCACTGGCTCTAGTGACCAGCAGCCCCAATATCATCTGTCCTGCAGGACCTCACTCTCTTTATCTCTCCCTTTTTCATTTCTAATCTGAAGTGCCCCATTTCTCCCATTCACTCCTTATCTTCATCTGATGCCTTTTGTACGTCTCTGATCCAATTGGCCACTCTTCAGTTCAGTCCAAACAGCAGGAGCTTCCCTAAAAATCACTGTCACATCTTTTTTTTTTTAATAAACTGTAATCATTTCTACTGTACATGGATTTAGAAACATATCATTTGTTCTGGTAACAGAAATCAGCTGGATTGCTTTAAAGGAGCAAACACAAAGCAGGTTTGCTTGATGGTTACACAACTTCATGTTCCTACCATTATTCTAATAGCAGCTTCATCTTTGCAAGTGTTGTAATCACTGGCAAAAGCCACAAAAACCAATGTCATGATTATAATTTTGACAAATGAAAATACAGCACATTGCATCTTTAACTCTTCCTCCTCTCTCCTGTTTCTCACTGCCATCATCATTCTCCCACCCTCCATACACACTGAGCTCTGTCTCTCCAGAGTGGTACTAAAGCATCTCTGCACATACCTGTCTCACTCTCTTACCATTGCGAGCCCTGTTAGCGCCCTGCCATTCATATCAGTGGGATTAAATGGATCATTTTCCAGCATTAGCAGCTTCTCCATCAAGTGGTCTTGATGTCAGGCCAAGCATAATTGAGTCATCTGCATCTCATCTAAAATGGATGAAAGGAGTTTTTGATATCATCAGCCTATCACCCGACCACCACCACCTTCCCCAAGACCTAGCAGGAGAGAGAAAAGGCTTAGGCTAGCAACACTTCTTTTCTAGAAAGACAGAACCAGAGGAAGGGAGGAAGATGGTCAGCTCTTGTGAGTCATTGATACGTATGGAATGACAACACATGTGAATGTGATGAAACAGCAGGAACAAAACGAAAAAAGGTGCTTTAGTTTAGACAAGTGAAAGAATACACTTTGTATGACCGTTTGGTTTCTCAGCTTCCTGTCTGTTAACCCTGTTATTACTTCCTGCATCAGCACTGACCATTAAGCTAAGTTGTGTTAAGCTGTTTGGGCAATAAACCAGTGCTGTCATTTTTCCCCCTGGAAGCACTGTAGCACAAGATGAAAAGAAAGAGTACAAAGTGACAGTAAATACCTCGCAAGTTATACGTTCCACCTTTGTGCAACTATTGACTGTGGTGCCAATAAGTGTCATTTCAAACATCATTAGTGAGAAGCACTTTTCTGAGAGTTGACCAAATCCTTCGGAGCTATTTAACATGAGAAACAGATGGAACAACAGAGACATAGATTAATCCTTTGATTCAAAAACTAGAAACAATGTATCTACAGATTGTGATGTAACAAAGGTAAGTGTTGTGGTACAAAACAAACTAAGGTAAACAATGAGAAGATTTTGAACTCAAAGTTAGAAGCACACACCGACATACAACAGTTTAAAGAGCCCTGTATTGAGGAACCACAGCATCTAATCAAGATGTATTGGTGCAAGTGGTGTTTGAGTGCATCCATGTTCACTTCGGTATTTTGACGATGAGGAAAAATGGTTCAAGCGCCGGTGCAACCAGTGGAAGGGCA